CAAATAAACAATCTAACCTTACAACTAAAGGAGCTAGAAAAGAGAATAATCAAAGCCCAAAGTTAGTAGAAGAAATTAAATAATAAAGATGAGAGTAGAAATAAACAAAATGAACAAAAAACAATATAAAAGATGAATGAAACTAAGAAGTGTTCTCTGAAAAGATAAACAAAATTGATAAACCTGTAGCCATACTCTCAAGAAATAAAAGAGAGAACTCAAATAAATGAAAGAAATCAGATGAAAGACAACTTACAACTGAGACCACAGAAATACAATTATAAGAGACTAGAAAATTATGCCAACAAAATGGACAACAAAAAAGAAATAGATAAATTCCTAGAAACACACAATCTACCAAGACTGAATTATGAAGAAATAAAATATCTGAACAGACTGATTACTAGTAATGAAATTGAATCAATACAAAAACTCCCAACAAAGAGAAGTCCAGGACCAGATGGCTTAACAAGTGAATTCTACCAAATATTTTAAAAGTTAATTCCTATCCTTCTCAAGCTATTCCAAAATATAGAAGAGGAAAGAATACTTCCAAATTCATCCTATGAGGCCAACATTACCTGACACCAAAACCAAACAAAGATACCACAAAAAAAGAAAGTTATAGGCCAATATCCCTGATGAACATAAATGCAAAAATCTTCAACAAATATTAGCAAATCTAATTCAACAATACATTAAAAGGATTATAAACCATGATCAAGTAGGATTTATTCTAGGGATGCAAGGGATGGTTCAACATCCACAAATCAATCAATGTGATATATCACATCAACAAAATGAAGGATAAAAACCATACGATCATCTCAATAGATACAGAAAAGGCATTTGACCAAAATTCAACATCCATTCATGATAAAAACTTTCAGCAAAGTGGGTATAGAGGGAAGGTCATTTATGACAAATCCACAGCTAACATCATACTCAATAGTGAAAAGCTAAATGCTTTTCCTCTAAGATCAGAAACAAGACAAGGATGCCCCCTGCCACCACTTTTATTCAACTGGAAGTCCTACCCACAGCAATCACACAACAAAAAGAAATAAAAGGCATCTAAATTGGCAAGAAAGAAGTAAAATTTTCACTATTTGCAGATGACATGATACTATATGAGAAAACCTTAAAGACTCCACCAAAGAACTATTAAAACTGATAAAGGGAATCAGTAAAGTTGCAAGATACAAAATTAATATATAGAAATATATTGCATTTGTATACACCAATAACAAACTAGCAGAAAGAGAAATTAAGGGGCGCCTGGGTGGCTCAGTCATTAAACGTCTGCCTTCGGTTCAGGTCATGATCCCAGGGTCCTGGGATCAAGGCCCGTGTCAGGCTCCCTGCTCCGTGGGAAGCCTGCTTCTCCCTCTCCCACTTGTGTTCCTGCTCTTGCTGTCTCTCTCTCTGTGTCAAATAAATAAAATCTTTAAAAAAAAAAAAAAGAAAGAGAAATTAAGAAAACAGTCCCATTTGGGCGCCTGGGTGGCTCAATTGGTTAAGTGACTGCCTTCAGCTCAGGTCATGATCCTGGAGTCCCAGGATCGAGTCCCACATCGGGCTCCCTGCTCGGCGGGGGGTCTGCTTCTCCCTCTGAGCCTCTTCCCTCTCGTGCTGTCTCTCATTCTCTCTCTCTCAAATAAATAAATAAAATCTTTAAAAAGGAAAAAAGAAAACAATCCCATTTATAATTACATCAAAAAGAATAAAATATCTAGAAATAAATGTAACCAAGGAGGTGAAAGACCTGTACTCTGAAAACTATAAAACATTGATAAAAGAAATTGAAGATAACATAAATAAATGGAAAGATGCTCACAGATTAGAAGAATTGATATTGTTGGGGCGCCTGGGTGGCTCAGTCGTTAAGCGTCTCCCTTCAGCTCAGGTCATGATCCCAGGGTCCTGGGATGGAGCCCCACATTGGGCTCCATGCTCCATGGGAAGCCTGCTTCTCCCTCTCCCACTCCCCCTGCTTGTGTTCCCTCTCTCACTGTGTCTCTCTCTGTCAAATAAATAAAATCTTTAAAAAAAAAAAAATTGATATTATTAAAATGTCTATACTACCCAAAACAATCTACAGATTCAGTGCAATTCCTATCAATATACCAATAGCACTTTTCACATCACTAGAATGAATAATCCTAAAATTTGTATAGTACCAAAAAATATGCCAAATAGCCAAAGGAATTTTGAGAAAAGCAAAGCTGGAGGTATCACATTCCTAGATTTCAAACTATAGTACAAAACTATAGTAATCAGAGAGTATGGCAGTGGCACAAAAACAGACACATATATCAATGAAACAGAACAGAGATCCCAGGAATAAACCCAAGCTTATATGGTCAATTAATCTACAACAAAGGAGACTATACAATGGGGAAAAGACAGTCTCTTCAATAAATGGTGCAAACAGGACAGCTACTCGAAAAAGAATAAAAATGGACTGCTTTTTTACACCACAGGCAAAAATAAACTCAAAATGGATTAAAGACCTAAATATAGGACCTGAAACTATAAAAATCCTAGAAGAAAACAGAGGCAGTAATCTCTTTAACATCAGGCTTAGCAACATTTTTCCAGATATTTTTCCTCAGACAAGGGAAACAAAAGCAAAAATAAACTATTGGGACTACACCAAAAAAAAAAAAAAAAAAAAAGGCTTTAACACACAAAGGAAACCATCAACAAAACAAAAAGGCAGCCTACTGAATAGAAGAAGATATTTGCAAATGATGTATCTGATAAGGGATTACTATTCAAAACATATGAAGAATTTATACAACTCAACACCCCCCCAAGATCTGATTAAAACAGGCAGAGGACCTGAACAGATATTTTTCCAAAGACATACAAATGACCAACAGATACATGAAAAGATGCTCAACATCACTAATCGGCAGGAAAATGCAAATCAAAGCCACAGTAAGATATCATCTCACACCTGTCAGAATGGCTAGTATCAAAAAGACAAGAAATAACAAGTGTTAGCAAGGATGTGGATAAAAAGGAACCCTTGGGCACTGTGGGTGGGAATGTAAATTGGTGCAACCATTATGGAAAACAGTACGGAGTTTCCGCAAAAAATCAAAAATAGTACTACCATATGATTCAGTAATTCCACTCTGGGTATTGACCCAAAGAAAATGAAAACCCTAATTAAAAAAAAAAAAACCCTAATTAAAAAAGATATATGCACTTCTATGTTCATTGCAGCATTATTTACAATAGCCAAGACATGGAAGCAACCTAAGTGTCCACTGATAGATGAGTGGACAAAGACAATGTGGTATATACACAATGGAATATTTCTCAGCCATAAAAAGAATGAAATTTTGCCATCTAGGGCAACATGGGTAGACCTAGAGGGCATTATGCTGAGTGAAATAAGTCAGACGGAGGAAGACAAATATATGATTTTACTTATATGTAGAATCTAAAAAAGAAAAGAACAAAATGTAGAATCATAAATACAGAGAACTGGTGGTTGCCAGAGGGGAGCGGGTGAGGGGATGGGCAAAACAGGTAAAGGGGATTAAGAGGTACAAACTTCCAGTTATAAAATAAGTTGTTGGCGGTGGGGGAGCCTGAGTGGCTCAGTCCGTTAAGCGTCTGCCTTCAGCTCAGGTCATGATTCCAGAGTCCTGGGATCTAGCCCCTAGTTGGGCTCTCTGCTCAGCGGGGAGTCTGCTTCTCCCTCTCCCTCTGATCTCTTTCTCTTGCTCTCTCTCAAATAAATAAAATCTTTAAAAAGTAAAAAAAAAAATTTTTTAAATAAGTCATGGGGATATAAAGTACAGCATAGGGAATATAACCAATAATATTGTAATAAAGTTATATGGTAATAGATGGTAACTGCAGTTTATGTGGTAAGCATTTCATAACATATATAAAAGTTGAATCACTATATCGTACACTTAATATTGTTTCATCTAAGAATTTTTAAAAATTTAAGATAAAACACTGATAATGCTCGGCAAATGTAAGCACCATATAAAGGTTTGTTAGAATCACTTTCTCAGTACTTTCATTTCTTCACTGTCACTCACTTCTCAGCCAATTCTGACCCCATCACTTTGCCATAAACAGTGTTTACTAAGAATACCAATGGCCTCTATATTACTAAATCCAACAAATATTTTTCAGTCATCATCTTACTTGAGGTCTATGTAGTAGTTGAGGATCAATGTTAATACTCTCTTCTTGTAACATTCTTTTCTAGTCCAGGACTTCAATTACCACCTACCTCTCCTGTCTTACCCGTCTTTATCCGTAGCCCAGACCTCTATTCTATGCTCCAGACCCCACAAGGCCAGTGATTAGCTGGACATCTCCCCTCGGACGTCTCAAAAGCATTTCATGCGTACTACCTCCAAACCTGACCATGATCTTTCTCTCTTTACCCCCTCGTCTTGAATATTCTGTTTTTTCAGTCCCTCTTCACCTGGCTGGCCCCTACACCTACTTTAGATTTTAGTTGAAGAATCACTTCCTCAGGGAACCCTGAGGTGAATGCCCTCAAAGAAACTTTCATAGCATCTCTCTTCTCAGCTACAATCGGAAAAAAGGTAAGCTACACAAGGGCAGGAATGTCTGTCTTCTCACGACTGTATCCAAGGACCTAAATTAGGCAGCCTCCAGAGCCCTTTTATTTGCCCTGGGATCTCTCTGCACTCTTTAACGAGTATTAACTGTGCCACTTGTGCCTGGCTAAGACATTACTAAGTTAAAACTTGACAGAGTGCGAAGCAGTCTAGCAGGAGAGACAGTAATCTAGCCCCCAAATTACTTTCACTTGCGATAAAAGGCTCATGGATCACAATTTTTTAAAAGCCTAACAGGGTGATTTGTCCCTTGAACAACCAACATTATGCACATCCTGAAATAATGCAGTGGGTCCAGGTAATCAGTGCAATTGTGTGGGGTTTCTACCATTATGTTTACACCTCACCTATCACTTGGGTAGTGGTACTCAATCCTACCTTAGCAAGCCAACTGCTTTTAACCCAGCACTCCTGTGACCCCAATACAGAGAGCAGTTTGCGAAGAGGTCTCCCGTAACCGCAGGCAGCTACAATGCCGCTGCGGAGTAGGAAGGCGGGAAAGTCCGAGGGAGGAAAAGCCGACGCCTGAGCTCGGGTGAATGTTTTAGGGAACAGTCTGCATTTAAAGCCAGCAGGGGTAAATAAGACTGAAAAGAGAACCGAGCGAAAGTCGCAGCGGGAATAAGAGTGAAAAACGACGGAGGTCCGGGGCACGCCCACTCCCCAGGCACCCAGGTCCTCAGAGCCAGTACCGCGAGACTCCGAACGCATTCCCAGGGACTCCCTCAAACTCCAGGTAAACGCCCGTAGGGGCGGGGCAAGAAGAGACGGCGGCACTGAGGAGCTCGCCTTACATGCTCAAGAATCTCAGTTCTCGCGATCTTTCCGGACCCTCCACAGGGAGTCCGAGCGCGCGTGCAGGCTGGAGTACCGGGAGGGCGGAGACTGTGTGGCGGAGAGCAGCCCCGTTGCCTGTCCTACGGAAGCCTGCGAGGAAGGGTGGTAACCGCTGCCCCGTCCCATTGTCCCGATGCCCAGCGCCAACCAAAGCCGCAAGAGTCAGGAGAAGCCGCGGGAGATCATGGATGCGGCGGAAGTGGGTGTCCTCCTTCCTCGGGCCTGGGAAAATAGACCCCCTGGGCCGCACCGCGCTGAGGGAGGGAGTAGGGTGAGCGGGGCCCTGCCTCCGGCTCCCTGTTGGCACTTGGCTTGCAGGCCGCGGGCCTGGGGCCGGGATCCCCAGAGCCCTCACTGCGCTTCCAGGGCCCTTGCGCGAGCCCCGTGGCCAGACCCACCCCGGATCTCATTTCTCACAGGGACGCTTGGGAGGCCTAGCGTAACAGAAGCGTGTCCCGGGGTGAGGTGGACATGGAGCGCCGACTGTCCCGGAAGTAGGAGCGGCGGGGTCACAAGCTTCCCTGGGTTAGGCACGTCCCTCATGTAATCGCCCCTGCTCCTTGCCCCGTAAAATTTTAATGTCCACTAGTAATCGATATTTTCCTCAGCTCTCGTGTTCCTAATGTTTTTGCAAGTAATGACGGTACTTAGTAAAAAGATCTGCCGATATGTTTAATGACGATTTACCATGTGACAGCTTCAAAGAACGCTTGCCATTTTTATTTACTTTCTCCCTTCTAGTGACCCAGTGAGGTAGGTAGGGAAGTTTGCAGAGCAAGCATTTGAGATGAAGTGATTCAAAATCATGTGGGTAATTCATAATACCCAGTGGTCCTTCAGTGCTTTTCAGAAATGAGAGTTTGAAGCCGTCCTACAACTTACTGTGCTGTAGGATAACCGAGCCTCAATCCCTACCCAGCTCCTAACTTTTCACTTGAGGAGTTATGAATCTGTGATAAGCTACATAAGGAATGGGTCATCTTAATAATATTAGATGGAATAGAAGTTGCTGAAACATGAATAGTACTCGTAAGTGACCCTGTATTCACACGCTGTAGTCTGTTTATGCTGGCCTCATGCTGCGTTGTGTGACTATCTGTTAGGGCTGGGTTATCTTTGTCTTTCGGTGTGTTTTTTTTTTTTTTAATTTGGAAAAAAAGATTATTCAGTATTCACCTTAATATGTCTGGTGTATTTTGGTATAAACACAAACTCCAATATCTGCCAGATCTAAAGGAGAGGATTCCAGCAGATAACTAGGGAGTGACAGAAACTAATTACAGTACCCTGTAAAATCTAAGGAAATTATTTTCGCTATTTCTTGATCTAATTATGTAAACTGTGCTCCTTTGCAGATAGTATAGATCTAGATTATAAGGTAGACATTGTGATGGAATTATGTCATTTTATAGCTAGAAGGATCTTAAGATACCATTTTAGAAGTAAAGTGAGATTAAAATAAAAGGCCACTTAGCTATTCTGTAAGTATGTTGTTAATAGTCTGTACCATAGATCTCCTGTTTCCTGCTCCTGACTTTAAAATGTAACAAGAAGTTAGATGTTGTCTATTTCCAACCCCTTGCAATCCTATATGCTGAAGGTAGTTTTAGAAACAGGAAGCTGGTGGATATTTTTACAAAGTTGTAGTAGCTTATATCCAACATCTCGGATTTCTAAAACCTGAGGACATCTGGTGCTCAGAAAGCCTACCCAAAAATGTTGGTTCTCCTTGAACATCTCTTCCTGTAATAGGAAGTTAATAAAACTGTGGTACTACATCCTACTCCCTTCACAGAGGAAATTTATATCCCTGCTTTGAAGTCATTTAATGTTCTTTTTGAAGAAGGTAGTTAAAAGATGTGTTGTATATGTGTGAAAATTTTATCTTTGAGTGCTGTTGTATATGGTATATCCATCCAGGACAGGTGATCTTCAAAACAAAAGAAACTTTTTCTGTATATAGGTAAATGATATGGCAGATTTCCACACTTCGAAGCTACTGGCTCTCTAAATTAATAAAATGGTACTGAAAGTTAAAATAAATTTTTTTTTTTTTAAGATTTTATTTATTTATTTGACAGAGCGAGAGAGCACAAGCAGGGGGAACAGTAGAGGTAGAGGGAGAAGAAGGCTCCCTGCCAAGCAGGGAGCCCGATGCGGGGCTTGATCCCAGGGCCCTGAGATCATGACCTGAGCCGAAGGCAGATGCTTAACCATCTGAGCCACCCAGGCGCCCCAAAATAAATTCATTTTTATATTCTGTTATTTGTATGTATGTGTATACTGTGCTATTTGTGTCTAAATAAAAAATCATAATCCAAAACCATTTTTTTGTAGGATTATGCTAAAGAAAGATATGGAGTATCTTCAATGATACAATCACAAGAAAAACCAGGTTAGTAGCTTTATGATAATAAAGCCTTTTTTTTTTTTTTCTTGGTCTTTCTAATTCCAGGAAAGCTCTTCATGAAGTTAAGTAAATTTGGCATAACTCTGAAAAGGTTAAATGAATAACCCAAGCAGGTGCCATAACCCTGCATAATCATTGTCAGTCTAGGGTTACTACTCTAGAAAGGGAAGAAAAATACATTAAAGAGTTAACTTTAAATGGTAAATTATATTAAAAAGGTAAGGTACAAGATTTAACTAAGATTTAGCTCTAGCCTAGGAGATAAAAAAGAATGGTTAATATTAACTGCCTTCATTATATGCAACCTTTTTGCATGTTTTATGAAGCCACCTCCTTTCCTTTTCCCCCTTGACTTTATTATATTTCTTTTAAATTGACTTGTCACATGCTGTTTCACTCAGACCTGTAGGTTTTTTATTTCTATTTCTTCCTTTTGTTTGTATTTTTATATATTTGTATGTGTGTAATATCAGATTTATCTTACTGTCAACTATTTAACAATCACTTTTCTTTTGGTAGACACCCCAGATCATTCAAACTTTGGTACAACTGCAGAACTTTAAGTTCTGGCCCATTGGAAGTACTAGGTACTTCTTTCTCTCTCTCTTACTTTCTTTCTCTCTTTCTTTCTTTCCCTTTTTTTCTTTCTCTGTTTCTCTCTCTCTCTTTCTTTCTTTCCTCTTTTTATGTACTTCTGATTCAGAAGCCTGCCTATGAATTTTATGCTTTGGAAATAACCTCCAGGTCAGTTTTAATTGTACTTTGGGATTTGATTTATTGCACTGTCACAAAGTCACTTTTACTTCTCAACTTTCTTGGAAAAATGTACGATATAAGACAAATGGTTTGCTAAAAATAAACTATTTCCAAAAGCAAAGATGCTGGAGTAAAATAATTTAGTATAAAATGGAATACAAACAATATAGTATAGAAGATGACATTCCCCTGCCAGGACAAGCGGGAGGGGTGATTTGAGACTTTTTTTTCAGTATCTTCCTGAATTGGACTTCCTTGAACTATAACAAAGAAGCTCACTGGAGTTTCAGTCTTTTACGTGAGCTCCAATCACCTATTGCTATACTGTTCCCATTTGGTTAGCAAAGCCAGACTACTGTCTTCCACTTATAATTTCTTCTCACGGGGTAGGGGGGGATAAACTATGTATGTCACCTGGTAACAGTAATATAACAGGAAAATTCTACCTTTGGTTTATCTCTGCTAAAATCCTAATACTTGGTTCAACACGAAGTTTCCTTCGCATGTGCTTCCATGTCTCCAGATATCTTTGTTCTAATGCTAGTGACTTAAAAGTGTGGAAGAGGCAGTAGATTTTCAAACTGAAATCCTGCTGCCCATGATCATTGTCTCAGCCAGTCATACTGATGAGAGTGTGACAATGTCTCAAGTATTTGTGGATGTGTTGAAGGTTGAGAACCCCTGTGCTAATTAGTTCTAATGCTACACAAAAAAAGAAATGATACTCTTTGTTTTCAAAAGTAGTATCAAGGGGCACCTGGGTGGCTCAGTTGGTTAAGCATCTGCCTTGGGCTCAGGTCATGATCTCTAGGTCCTGGGATCAAGTCCCAAGCCCCATACTGCATCAGGCTCTCTGCTCAGCCTCTCCCTTTGTGATCTCTTTCACTCAAATGAATAAATAAAATCTTTTTTTAAAAAGTACTCTTAAAATTACTCTAAACATGCCACTTATAAGCTCATTCGTTTAGATTTATGTTACTCTGTTTCATTTGGTTTTGAGTTTTGACTGACTAGTTAATAAGTCATTTCCTTTTTCAGTATTGGCATTTTCAGATTTGTCTTTTAAAATTTTATGCCGCTTTGTCTGTCTTTTCTCTTTCACACTTTCTTTTGCCTGAGTTTACACAGCAGATTTGGAAATTGGCTTAATTTATAAGGTCTGTTGGCAATGTTCTGCAAAATGGCTTAAAAATTCCTCATTCTTTCTCTTTGTTTCTGGCAATGAGAACCATGGTGTTCTGTAAATCAAATTCTCTCTAAGCTTCATCTTCTTGCTTCAAGAGACAAGTTACAAATGCATTTAGCAAAGTAGGTAAAATAGATTTATAATTTGATTTCATTATAATATCCTCCCAAAAGTATTTTTAGTAATGTAGTAACTAGGTTTTGCTGCATGTGATATTGACAGATTTGGTTACAATTAGGCAATGTAACTCTTGAGAATAGAGATCTTTTATTACTCTTGATGTTATGATGTCATGTCTGTTACTATGTTTTTAATACTTACATTTTTCTTTGATATTCAAATTATTGCATATAAAATAATAAAATGATTTCTGGATCATGACTGCCTATGTCACTATCTTGACATAATAGTTGTTTTGTCACAGTTTTCCTATTTGGGGATTTCTGGATAAATATAGTATTTTGTTATTATCATTGGGGGGCTCACTTACAGCCAAAA